CCTTAAGCCATGTATTGCTGGAAACTGGAAGAATGTAGGGAAGAAACATACAAAACCATGCAATTGACAGCAATGCTCTTCCCAATCCTGTTCCCTTGTCCTGTCTGTTACTGGTGGCAGAAGGCAGGATGCTGAGCTAAATGGACTTGTTGGTCTGATCCTGAGTGGTAGTTCTTGTTCTTATCTGTAATTCACTTGCTTCCGACTTAAGCGATGCAGGGGTATGAGCCATTCTCTTTTCCTTTTCTATAAATATACTCAGAGGTACTTAACCTTTTTCTTCTGTGCTGAAGCTTTTGTACCTGTTCTGATGCTGTTCCTGCATGCAGGACTTTTATTTCCCTCACTTTCTTTTTACTAGTAGAACTGCCTGCCTTGTTCTTAGCAGGCTAAGGCTTAAGTGGTGCTACATTGGTCTCTTTCTACTGCATATTAGAATAGTTTGCTCCCCTTATGTTTTTTTTTGAGAAGCATCCAGTCACTTCTCTCCCATGGAACTGTGCCTCTTAATTCTTTGGCACCATCGAGTGCTTTATCAAATCAGGTGTTTTCCTGGTATTTTGCTAACTAAAGTTTAGTTCTCGAGCAGTTTTCAGAAGAATTATTTGTTGATTTATTTTAACCACTGCAGATGTCTTGGGATTTCCCCTGCTGCTCTGTTTCTGCCAAAGCTGTGCTGGTCTTAGGATTCTAGGTCTGGATGTGATGTTAAGATTTTCTTCAGATCCACGTGAAAAATTGTGGGCCTCTGATATTAAGTCACTGTTTTGGACAGGTAGGAAAGGGATCTTTTCTATTAAATAGATTCTGTTATTTTCTTTTTTCTTTTTCTTTTTTTCTTGTTTCTTTTTTTCTTCTTTTATACCAAATACCGTCATAACAGACTCTTTCCTGTTTGGGATAAGCAGGAAATGTTTGGCTGCACAGGGATCTAAAATATTAATGCCGGCTGAGCAGACTGAGTTATTTCAGCTGTTTGCATCCAAAATGTCTTCTGACCAAGCAGTCTCTTTAATCCTCAGCTAAGGTACAATTTCCAAGTTTCAAATTTAATCTTGTCTTTTGACCGTAGCTTTAAAGTCGGTAATGTTAGGTGCAGGTGAGATTTAGTTTTGTGTATTATGTGTAGGACTTGGTGAAAAGTATGAGAGGAATAACTCGAGTGACTGAAAAGACTCTGCTTTGACTGTTTAAAAACCCAGATTGTTCAAGCAGACAGGAGGCCTGGAAAACCAGCCCAGGAAGAATATGAACTCTTCCAGTACTTGGAGTATGTGGGAAATAAATTAATTAGAAATAGACTTGGTAACCTTATTAAAACTGGCATCAGTTAACCACGACAAAATTCCTTACATCTTTTTCAGAAAGCTCTATTATAATATAAGTAATACAGGTGGGCATTTAATAATACACCACTGTTTTCAGACCAGTAGCAAAGCAAGTCACTGCTTGCACTTTAGATCTCCGAGCTGCTTTGGTTTGACCAGCTTAAGTAGATTTATCTTCACTGTGCTTCTGTGTCTGAAATGGGATTGTTTCCTTGTCTCGCAAACTGAAACATGGCTTGCCTGAGGGAGTTTCTAGTCAGGCTGGATGCCTTGCATCCCAGTATGGTGACCTGCCATAATGCTGCCTAATCTCTAGAACTGCTCTCTCCTTTTTTTTTTTCTTTTTTTTTTCTTTTTTATTTTTTCCCTCTCCTGAGGAAATGTGACATTGGTCATCTTGAAGGGAAACAGCACGAGGAAAGAGGTCAAAGTACTAACAGAGATGAGGTTGGCCTTTTTAAATCTAGGTATGCCAGTTACTATATGGATTTGCAAAGGGGTGATTAGTCATTTCAGATCCTTCACTTAACGGGAAATTTGGTCACTTGGGTAAGATCCATGAGGGATGGTCAGTCAGGCAGAGCTCTGCTGACTGACCCTCCTGCACATCTTACCTGGCATGGAAAGGCACTCAGCCTTCCAGCTCAAAAACGGATAGAAGGAAGGGCTTCTGAAAGTCTTGCTTCAATTCACGTGCCCTTTTGCTCAACTCTTGACCAAAGGAGTTAAGCTTATGAGGGAGCAGTTCTTAAAATGAACAAAGAGGTGATTCTGCCACTTTGCTCTGGTGAGACCTCACCTGCAGTACTGTGTGCAGGTCTGGAGCCCTCAATATAAGAAGGGTATGGACCTGATGGAGTGGGTCCAGAGGAGGGCCACAAAGATGATCGGGGGGTCAGAGCACCTCTGCTATGAGGACAGGCTGAGGGAGCTGGGGTTGTTTAGCCTGGAGAAGAGGAGGTTCTGGGGACACCTAATAGCAGCCTTCCAGTACCTGAAGGGGGCCTACAGGAAGGCTGGGGAGAGCCTGTTTACAAACGCCTGCAGTGACAGAAGAAGGGGTAATGGCTTTAAACTGGAGAAAAGCAGATTTAGATTAGACATTAGGAGTAAGTTCTTTACTGTGAGGGTGGTGGAGCACTGGAACAGGTTGCCAAGGGAGGTGGTTGAGGCCCCATCCCTGGAGATATTCCAGGTGAGGCTCAATGAGGCCCTGGGCAACCTGGTCTAGTTGGGGGTGTCCCTGCTGACTGCGGGGGGGTCGGACTCGATGACCCTGAAGGTCTCTTCAGACCCAGATGATTCAATGAAAGTGTGGTGCAATCATTTCTATACCGTGCCACCGTCTGGCTCTGCTGCCACTATGAGCTTCTTAAACACAACCCCCTTTTTTTTTCCCTTTTTGCCTGCGGAAGTCTGGCTCTCGCAATGAGCTCACCCGCAACAAAAGCTCCTTGGAGCCTTGTTCAGCTCCAGCCAGGGCCTACCTAACAACGGCTCCTTTCCTGTCATTCTCTCGCCTACTAGACATAGCAGCCTTATGAGTATTTGGGTGGGGAAGGAAGGAGATTGCAACATCCATTAAGAAGGAAAAAAAAAAAAAAGAAAAAGAAAAAAAAAAAAAGGAAGGCTTGTCTGTCTCTCGCTTTTCAAGTGCAGCTGTAAAACTTTCCTTGGCCTTTGAAAACTGAGCTCTGCCATGTAGTGGGTGCGAGCTGTGGAATACGTCAGCCTTTGAAGTTAGGCCTTTAAATAGGCAATTGCAAATGGCATCCAAATTTAAGCTTGTGTAGCAGTTTTGCTGCAAGCTGGAATAAGCCACTTATTCTGCCAGCGCACTGTGGCTGGTGAGGCAAAGTTACAAATACCCACACCTCTGTATGTCTTTCCCAGCCATGTTCACCCTGGTGACAATAGATCTGAATCTCTAGAAATGTAGTTGTATCATGAGCCTCATGTTGAAACCAACTTTATATTTCCTTGCAAGGCTTCGGTCTTCTGTTTTACCAGAAAACTGTGCCGGCTGTGACTGAACACTGCTGTGTTCACAGGGTTGCAGCCACAGAGAAGCAAACCTGTCCTGAAGTGGCTGAATAAGAGTGGCTGAAAGGCAACTGTCTCCTGGTTTTTGTTCGTTTATTTGCAGGGAAAAAACAGGCCACACAAGAGAAGGCAACTAAGAGCCCCAAAGCATTTATTTTCTCATTTGTAGTGTGTTGAGTGCTTAGAGACTACCTGCCACTTGGTACAATGCGGCACTTCATAGTTCTTAATCTATAGGCATTACTTTTCTACAGAGGTATATTGTTCTTATTTTTAATGCTGGGGACAGGGATAAAAGCTTTGTTTGCGCAAGGAGTTGAATTAATGGGTAGAGCTGCACATAGGGTTTCTTTCTATCCTAATCTACTGTAAGATGATCTGAACAGGCACGGTGAGTTTGAAGCAAGTTGTGCTGCCCCAGCAAGAACATGTCTACCCCTTGGGTATTTGCACTGCATATCTTTATGTATCTACCTAATTTCCCCTGATCCACCATTGAGAAGTAGCCTTGTTACTTTACCTGCACATAGTTGGATGTCCTCGGAGAAGTGCAAAGTAGAGATGAGAAAGTAAATTGGCTTGTATTGCTTTGCTGGTGCCTTCTTGTCAATTTATTGACAGCGAAGTTTCCAGTATATTCCCAGTGGGAGAGAAATTCAATCCAGAAAAGGGAAAACATCACTTAATTTTCAACAATACTTAGTTACATTCCAGAATTTGCACAGCTCTCTTGGGAAATAGCTTTCCTGTATCCATTGTCTTAATGTAGTGCCTTTCCTAATCATCCTTTGTCACCTCCAAGCTTCTGGAAAAGTGAGTGTTTCCCAGGGTGTAGGTGGAGGGAGAAGAGCTTGCGCGTTGCTGCCTAGCTTCTCATTGTGATGTTGTGTTAATCAAGTTAATCAAGAGCAGTGACTCATAGAAAATGAAGACTGGATAATTCAAGTGATTATTTATCACTTCTGTGGTCTACAGGATTATTTCCTGCTGGAGAAAATAGCCCAAGGCACTTGCCTGCTACAGAACACATCTTTGTATTTATTTTAAATTTTTCCTTTCTGTAACTCAAAGGTAAAAAGCTTAAGAAATTCTCTCCCTCCATATTATTACTTCTTTGTAATCTACCGTGTAACTCCGATTAACTCAGAGGTTGCAGAGGTAGAGCCAGATTTCAGCTCCAGCTCTGCCTCTAGAAGCAAAGTCCCACTTTCTAGAGCAAAAGGGGAATCAACCCCTTCGTTGGACTGTCCTAAATGCCCCCTGTCCCTCCCATGCTGGTTCCAAGCCTTGTCCCTGAACTTGACACAGCAACTGAAACACCTTACTCCAGTTCAGAGCCTGAAGAAGCATCTTAATCCTTATAAAGGCACAGGTGTGGGGTGTGGGGTTGCTTTTTGTTCTGCTTTTATCATCTTCTAGCAATTTGTTCTTTCCAATTCAAATGGATACTCGCCTGCTGAACTGAAGTTAGGTACTTCAAAGCATGAAATACCAGTTATCGTTCTTTGGTCAAAACTTAGGCACTGTAAGCTCCTGGGCCTTTGAAAAGGGATGTTGTGTTTGCTGTCAGTGTACTTACCTGTAAAGTGTTAATCTTTCCATCTTTTTTCTTTTTTTCCCCCCTCACAGGATGATGAGAGTCTGAAACACTTAACTCACGAAGAGCAGAATGTTCTCATGTTCTTTGAGGAAACCATAGATGCCTTAGAAGATGACTTGGAGGAGCCGGTCCTACATGACAGTGGCATCCACTGCCAGTCTCCACGGTCAACGGAAGAAAATGTGTCCAGTCATTCAGAGACTGAAGATATCATCGACTTAGTACAGTCAACACCTGAGAGCAGTGACCATGAAGGCCCTCCTAGCAGAGATGCAGAACCAGGTAGTAGTCTTGCTTGAAAGTGTGGTTTTCCCTTTGACCTAGCCCTGGCGTACTCCAGTTCTCAACAGAAACAGCTAAAGAAATCACATACCTTCCTTACTATGTCAACATGAATCTGTTACACATCAGGAGCTCGAAGGGCTGTGATTGACTTGGGATTTCTGAAATTCTTGCTGTAACTGTAACTATTTGGGTGTTTTCTCATGGAGGTCATGCATATGATTAAGTTGTTGGATTGCTGTTTCAGTCCCCTGCTGGGTGAACGAGTTTTAACAGAACTGGGTATTATGCAGAGTCATCACAGCAAGGCAGACTTGTGCTTATCCATGCAGGCACGCTCTGCTTCTCCCTAAGACCTCTTAAGACTTTCTCTAAGAGTTTTAAGATAGCAGATTGTTTGTAGTGTTACTTTGTGTGGCACTGAAAGGCACATGATCCTATCAATAAGTTTGTGACAGGGTTGTGCATGGCATGTTGGTTTTTTCACCCTGTAGAGTTTCCTCTCTCTGTTTTCAGAGAATGGATTTATCAGCTGGTACCTGCAGTGGGATGTAATGTGTCCTCCCCTGGCTGTTATAATAAAGAAGAATTGC